ACTCTCTCTCTCCATGAGTAAGCGAAACACAGCTCTCAAACAACGCCTCTCTCTCTCTCTCTCTAACTTGAATAGAAAATCAAGCGGGGCTCCCGCTGTCCCTCACTCTCTCTAGCAATCTTCTTATTGGGTAGTTAACAGTCACTAAAAACCACCGTTTTGGTCTCTTGGCCTCTCTCTCCGTGTCTCTCTCTTTTCCCGATGGTGGTGCCACCTCTTCTCCACTACCATGTTCCTCATTTTCCTCCTTTTCTCTCTCCTCACCGGGAAACCATCAACCATGCCGGTAAACCATTTACAATCTATCGAAAGGTCCTCTACCAGCCATTTTACCCCACAAATTTTGGTGCTTCAGCCCCTCCTCTCTCTCTCCTGTCAATGATGAGCCGTTCTTTCCAACACTTGGGGTTTCGGGCATTGATCTGGAGAGAGATTTTGGAGTTGAGTTGGGCGCCTTTGGTGAGGTTGAAGGTAGAGAGAGAAAGGGAAGAGACGGAGAAAGCGGGGGCGGTAGAGGAAGTAGAAGACGGCTGTCGCTACTGCGACAGGGATTAGGAGGATGAGGATGATGAGAGAGAACGCACAGGCAGCAGGACCAGCAGCGGCTGCGGCGGTAGCTGTGAGAGGGGGCTGTGGGGTAGTAAGCGGCGCGTGTGGCACCATACAATTTGGCTTTGGTTGTGAAATTGGGCGGTCTGCCGCCTGGTGTGACTGGAGGGTACACTTTGTCCGCCATTTCAAGAGGAGGATGATCAAACGAAGAGAGAGAGTTGGGGGTACTCTGTTTTTTTTTTGGGCTCTCTAGAAAGAGAGGCACGATTTGCAGATGTAGAGAGAGAAAGGTGGGGAGTCTCTCTGTACTTTTTTTCTCTTTTGCTTTTAGAGAGAGAGGGGTGAGCCGGTGAGAGGGAAAGGGGAAGGCGTATTTTGGTGAGTGGATTGACAATGGAGGCGCAACCGAAGGTTGGTGGTTTATCTTATTTTTCTTGTTTGGAGAGAGAGGTACAGAGCTCCCAACTCGGGAGGAGAGAGAAAGGCAGTTAGAGAGAGATTGGTGGCGAGAGAGAGACCGACTGAGAGCACCCAACTCGGGAGCGATAGAAAGACAGTTCAGAGTGAGATCTGTGACGAGAGAGAGACTTTATAGAGAAAGCGACTGAGTTTAGAGAGAGAGAGGGAGAGACTTGATTTTAGAGAGAGAGGGAGAGACTGAGTTTATACAGAGAGGGCGGGTTAAATGGAGGCTAAGTTTTTTAGGTAAGGAATTCATTTAATAAGTTGTTGAAGTCAATAATACATAGTCTCGTGTATTATGCCCCATCGTAAGTATAATTTTCTTCTAAACTTGTCATAAAGGAAATGGTAAGGAAATGGGTTTTGTCGAATTACCGTTGGGGCGACAGTCCGGATACAAAACTCTCCCTCGCTCTGACCTCCGGCGGAATCGGTTCTTTGAATTACCAAGCTTGGAACTGAGCTTTAGAAATTTTAGAATTTAGAGTAAAATAAGTGATATTATAAAAAATCCTTTTACAAATAGAGAAAGGAGAGTAAACAAAACGAACGAACAAAGTACCTGAGGCCGGGCCTCTAGGCCCAGTGCTTAGAGATGGCGTTGATTTAGGATCGATATGAGCACAACTTTTCTTGAACTATCACATATTTGTCGATTGGAGGTAAATGTGATTGTTTCGAGATCTGGGGAAGGGAGATGGTAATATTAAATGAAATACATATCTCAAATTGGGTATGATTCGGGTTTCTAGGTTGACAAAACATAGGTCAAGGGGTTCGGGATTCAAAGCAACAGAGTTTCAATAATTCTTTTGATTGGGGCTCATTCAAATGAGGTTTGAAAACCTATTTGTATACAGGTGTCACATCTGATAACTGTAAAAATTTCTGAGATTTAATCTGGACCATCTGTTGGCTGTTGTGGTAGACATCTTCAGCGACGATGTCAATGGTCAGATCATGTAAGTGATGTCCGTTGGCTGTCGTGGTCAGATTATGTCAGTGACGTTATGGCCCGCGTGATTTTTGGGCGGTGCCACATTATATATGCAACATGACTGATTTCAGCACTGGCCTTTTTTTAAAAGCTTCGATCTGGTTATTTTGGCCTTGAAATTTGGCTTCTGAAATACATAGCAAAGGTTTCATCAACACAGAGCCATGATGACATCCTCTGGCCTTCTTGGAACTTGCTTTTGGGCGGTGACTCCATCCAATTAAAATTTGTCGGATTTCGTAAATGGAGGTGACAACATCGTTTTATGTTAATGATGGGTAATCATTACGTTGTCAGTCGCTACATTCTGATGTCTGGCGAATGGCAGTTGCCTCCGTCAATAAGCATTTAGCGAGGTTTTCACCTTCATTATCCTTTTAGTGAGTAATGATTACCTTTTCTCTCACTCCAATATCAGGTGGTTAAACCACCCTTCTTGGCCAATCGGAGAGTGATGTTGTTTGAATCTACGCTGGTTAAGGTGTCACATTTGTTTTGGTGTAATGATTACCTCCCCTCATTCCAATGTTGAGCGGTTAAACTTGTTGAAGATTGATGTAGTGTATTCTGA